CACACACACACACACACACACACACACACACACACACACACACACACACACACACACACACACACACACACACACACACACACTCACACACTAACTGCAAAGACTCCCATTTTGTGCTTCGCACATTGGAGTCAAAAACGAAAGAAAATAAAAAAAAAGTGTGAAAAAATTGCCGGAGAATCGTCAAGTTTGCGTTGTTTCGACGATTGTTTCCGATTGTTCTCCCGTCGGGCGTGCTTCCTGGTTTCACAAGTCAGCAACGTAGATTGATTACATTTGATGTAGCATAAATGTTGCAATTTTATCTTTTTTCACTTTTTATCTGGTTCTATTGTTAATAGTTGCTTGTAAATCCTATTGGAACTTGAAGTCGGATATAACTTAGAATATAGTAATAAAGTGTGAAAAAATGGATCTCATGAATTCCTGTTACTGTCACCGTTAAGTGACGTCACAGAAATCACGTAAAAAAATATTCTATTTCCAGTCGATTGGCCGTTGTAAATATCACGTGACAAACAAACGGCCAACCTGCCATTGGTCAGTCACCGTTAGGTCACGTCATAAATGTCACGTACCAATGTATTAAATTTTGATTGGCTGTTGTCATATCACGTGATTAAGATTAAAATGGCAGCCAGCCATTGGCCAAGATACCGTTAAAAGGAGGAATCGGAAAACCAATAGTGGAGATCCCCGATCCGCGGATCCCCACGCACAAAGGACGTCCCCGAGACCATACCCCTTTATGACGGATCTGTTCTGGTTTGGCGTTTTTCAATTAATAACTGAAACTCTACTTATTGGTCTGATCTTTGTCTTCAAGTGAGTCAGTTGATCCCCAAGTTTACTTCTCACACTTGCCAAGCGAGAAATTCCCCAACTTATGATCCGAACCAGGTTGATATATTACTTTCCTTTCGCCAAAAACTGAAACTACGACCGGTTACATTAGCTCAACTTGGAAACAGTATGATTTTAGTATGTATATAGGGTAGTCTATTTTACGTTTCAGGCTGCACTTGAAGGGGGTATAATTTCACAAAAATAAGTACGTGTTTAGAGGCTTTTTTTGAAAAGCTATACTTCAGCATGGGTACCAGGTCTGACGAGATTGGAAGGCATCGAAGGAGTCGCCGGCGGTAATTAGTGCACGTTGCATCCAGGTCAAACTTCATTATTAGATTGTGGGAAAAAGGAATCTCGGCTTCACCTCAGTTGACATTGAGCTCTTCGGCTCGATGAAACTGTATGTCCACCTCTGTTGGAGTCAACCTTTGTATATCGTCAAATTCTATCTACAATTAATAATGTTAGCATTTAGTCAACAGTATGTGAACTTTCTTAGTTCCCTGTCAAACTGTCTTTGGGGAAAAACTGTAAAATTAGATGCATAAAATGTCATTTCAGCAGTGGTTTCCATATACCACCGTGAATGAAAACATACTAAAAATATTGTCAGGCATCAAAAAGAGCCCCGTTTTTCCACCATATGTCGCCGAGCAAAATGTGAGATTGAGATATGTCCTTGCAATAGGAAACAACGGTAAAATGCTCCCAAAAACAGACAAGTTTTTCATCGTTTTTCTCTGAACCGAGTACGGTGACCCCAATTTTTTTTTTCATTTTCTTCATTCTTGTAACATGAACATGACATATTAAAGTGGGAGGGTCGTCACCTGCGCACGCGCGGGAATCGAGTCCCAAGCGACGATAACACACGCTAAAACGCAAAGGCTCATGGGTAGACGCTTGTTTGTAAACAGTGACGTTATCCGTGTTACCCTTCATACTACATTAGATTATTATCTTTGGGTCAGTTCCCCTCAGCTAAAACGATCAAATATAGTTACTATTTTTAAATCTGATCGCCCCTCACCTGTGGGTAATTATCGACCCATCTTCTACTATCACTGTTCTCAAAGACTTCTGAAGGTGTACGTTTTCCGGACAACCATGTCAGTGCAAATATCTCCACTGATCAACATGGTTTTGCTAACAGTGAATCAACTATCACACATCTAGTAGATTATACCGACTTTCTTTTTTTAGTGTTGAATACCAAAAACAGGTAGATGCGATCTACACAGAATTCTGTATAACATTCGATAGTGTTAGTCACCTCTTGCTTCTTCACAAAGTTTCCAAATTTGATATTTGCGGTAATTTATATTGTTGGTTGTCATCTTGATGACCGTCGACGGCATGAGTACCGGGAGGCAACGTTTCTGAGTGTTTTAGTGCGACACAGGGAGTTCCTCGGGGATAACTCCTGGGATTTATGTTGTTAGTTATTTATGTTTCACAGCTTAGTATATCTGACCATCTTATCAAAACATTGTTACCTCAACTCGCGATTGTGACAAGTTATAATCAGACCTCAACAAACTTGTTAATTTGAGCTGGCAACTTTCTCCTAATGTTTATAAGCTTTTCTACAAAGAAGAGAATTATTTCCACAAAGTGAATCCGTGGTGCACCCATTAGTAGAACGGGTATACGTTATTAAGTACCTTGGCATTTACCATCAGCAGAAACCTTAGTCACATCAATTTCATTAACCCCATTGCCCTAAAATGGATCTACATAAAAGCAAATCCGGTTATAACATCTATAGCAACATTTTTAGAATTACAAACAAGGGGGAGTGGGGCCATTAGACACTGGGAAAGTTAATATTTCTAGTTATTTCTAGATGTATAATTATATTTCCAGTAATTCCGATATTGATATTTTTTTCTGTGCTGAATAGTTTTAAATCCAAGTTATTTAATCACTTTACAATTTTACACATATACGTTTTTTTCTTTATAATAACTGTTATAATATACTTTATAATGCCCGTTGATCTGAATATTAAATAAAAATAAAAAGATATTTGCAAGTGCGATACCAAGAGTTGTGAGCCCAAAGTGAGAGTGAACTTGTTTTTTCAGGAGAGTACCTCTTGTACGTCTGATATTACAATTAAGTTTTATGTTTGAAAATGACCGTTAAAACCGAACTGTAGAGTAAGAATGTTGTATCTGCTAGATAGAAGACTCTGTCTCCACTTGAGGCGTGTACTACCATGGTAATATTATAGGAATGGGAGTGTGCCGCTACTACTTCCGTTCTTTGCTGTAGACCTCATTTTGCGTCACATTCCCATATACCTTTCCAATGGACGATCATGATATGTAATTATAACCAACATGCCCCTAAACCGTGATAGTCGTGATTAAAGCAACGCGGACATGTGTCCGTATCGGCGTCTTTTCCATTGAAAACACTAATCTTCGTTGTTCCCCAATTGGACTTCGGAGAGGATGGGGAGATGGCTTTTCACTGCTGCAGGGCAACTAGTTTCCGGGAGTAGTAATGAATGGTTTTGGGGGATTAATATATGTATATACTCGCTTGCAGGTTGAGGGTCTAAGCTGGAATTTTCACACTGACTCATTGTATTAGCCCTGGTTACAAGATGTGGTCAGAGTGAGCGTATTTACATTCGGTCGCCGGCTGCCCACTCAAACACCGCCATGGATCTTGCATTTGTGCCAACCCTTCCTCTAAAAGAAGTTTGTTGCATGTCTAATTGAACTAAAAACTGGCACATTTCAGTATTATTTAGGTATTTCATACACTCACTGTAAATTGGGAATAAAAAACAAACTGGCCATGTTTCCCTCCATGGAATAACATATCGACCAAACATAGTTTGGAGATCCATAGCGACAACACGTATCACAGCCACGATTACACAAAGATTACACATATCGAAAAGAAGCACAGATCTCTCAGAATTCTAATGGTGGTGTGTAACCTATAGACACCAGGGTATCCATTCATACTCGCCAAAATTACGGAACATAACTACTTTAAGATCAGGTCATCAAAAGAAAATAATGAGATCAATGATAAATATTAGTAGATTTATTGCTAAATAAGATTATTAATGATCTACACAGTAGATAATTGTTCATATTGTTCGTAGTTAAAAAAATACGCAAATCCATGTGTCAATAAAAAAGGTTCTTTGGTAAATAAAATTCAATATAGAATTCATTAAAAAATCTCACATCAAAATTGATGTAATGTAGTATTTCTCTATGAGAGACGAAGTAAATCTGATACGCGGAGGGATATCAGTGAAAAATAATGCAAGGCAATAGACCTTTGTGAAAGGTTGCGCCCTCTAGCGATGACGATAAATAAGATTGACCGTATAGCAAAAACGACATTGCTTTCACTTTTCAACATTTCAACGCCAGTTATTTATCGTAAAGGCACTTTAATTGCAGTGTGGTATATGTACTCGATTGCTTTCGCCCACCGGAAATTCCCGATAGAATGCGTTTGACTTAGGGTTGTATAACTGTGTTTCGCGTATTGCATAAGTTACTGAGGCGAGTACTTTTACGCTAACGGTGACGACACTGTTACATACTAGTAGCATACGTAAGATAAACCAGCCACTGAACTTTATACCCCCCCCCCATATGCAATACGTAGTGTAAATGAATTTTGAAGCGTTGAGTCTCTTTAACAGCCGCGAAGTGTTGTAAATATGTGCAGTTTTCGTCGGAGACAAAAGGGTATTCCTGGCGTCTGCCTGAAATGTACCTGGCTATTCCGATGTGGTGGTTATTTGTTGAAAAAGAGCCTTTTTTGCTCCAAGAATATTTCCTGTGCCTTTTGGTAAATCTTTAAGTCATAATATAAAGCATCAAACACCTCGGGGTCGGAATAGAGTTGTTTTCTCAGGTCTGCGACGATTTCATTTCTTTGTTTGTGCGTTCGTATTTCACCTTCGGCTATGTACGGGTTGTAATTCAGCTCTTGTCCCGAGCACTGGGAGAACGGTAACTGATATGCGCCCTCTAGCAGTTGCAAGGTAATATCGTATTCAGAATTGATGCCAATCATAGCGAACCAGTCTTCGAGATTTTCTAGCACGTAATCTAAAACATTCGCTTTGTCTACTGTCGTCATCGCATGGCTCAACATCAGTTCGTTCCGATACCAACACGGAATTTGTCGCGGGGCTTCTGGAATCCCTTTCTTCACTCTCAGGGCGTCGATGGCGCCATCGAACTTGTCCGTGCAGTACTCTGGATTGTAAATCAATTGGCGAAAGAAGAAACTCCCTTGAAACTTGGCCCATTCACGCAGACTGACTTTCGTTGCGTCTCGTATTTGGCAGTGGAGCTCATTTCGCACCTTACAATATTCGTATGATGATATCGCTCTCTCGAACGGGTCCCTTAAAATTGTGATATAGCTACACGCATGCGTGGTATAATCACATTGTCGAAACGTGTGTCCCCCTGCGTAGAATTTGTGAAATACCCGCACAGTCGCTGTGTCCATGCTTTGGTAATAGTTTCCAGCATTTACATCGCAGATGATAAACGGATCGTCCGCCCCGATACTGGGCGCCATATTTTTCATACACATTTTTAACGTGCTCCCGCCAGACTTCTGGTTGTGTACGAACGCGATGTAGGCATCTTGGTATAGTTGCTTAGAATGTCGCGAGGCGTTGCGTTTAGTGTAGAAATTAGGGAGATAATTTTTCCTCACCAGCCAAGGAAATCGTGTAGATATTTCTAATGAAAGGTTGCGTTTGGTATTTGTTGCACTGGGGATGTTTCTACCACGTGATCTTAATTCTTTGTTGTTGTCCTGCGATTCGGAGCTGGAAGATGAGTTTGGTGACGTAAAAGACAGCCGTTTTCGTTGCAATGGATGCAGATTGTCGGCTGACATTTGAGCATTCCTGTATATGATAAAAAAAATATACAATCAATGAATAAATGCATTAAAAAACTGCTGAGCTTGTACAAGCTTGTAAATTGACATGAATCACGACAGTGTTCTTGTGAAGTTTGCATATAGTCCAGGTAGCGCAGGCGTGGTTCACACACATACACCTTCGCCGAGTCATGTTAGAACTTGTCGGTGGGGGCGCAGTAATGCGCGACTTGAAAGAAAACATTCGGAAGACGGTAGACTTGCTTGCAGTCTGTTGCGATTCCGGTGAAAAGTTCTTGAAAAATAAATATAAATTACGTAAACGAGGGGTGAACGCGAGAATCCTGTAACCGCGAAATCCCAACATGATTTGCTGGTTTCAAGTGAATGTAAAACTGTGTTGTTCAATTACGTCTAGTAATACTGTAGCTGGGCTCTCGCTCGAATTGTGAACATGACGCGAACAGTCAGCCGCTCATGTTTACCCAAATTTGTACAAAGCTACTGCGCATTTTCATACGTTCATGGTTTTATATGTCCAAATTTGCTTGCAAACACTAATGGTATTGTATATCAAATAGACTAACATTATTTCACTTTCTCTGTAACAAGCTCGAAAAAATAGCAACTAACTACAAACAATGACGTCATAATGGCGGATAATTATGACGCAGTCGGACAAAACTACTACGTGGACACAGAAACGCGCAAATAGTTTACCCGAGTTTATTCAGAGACGTGTATGGAACAAAAACGCGTTTCCGCCAACTGCGAGATCTCGCGAGATGCATGAAAAATCGAACGATTTGATTTTGAACTCGAATTTCCTTATTTCGTAGCTCATATCGACCGGCCGATCTTCGACAGAAGAATATTGCTTTCGAATACCCTCACTTAATCGAAATTGTCTATCAAATGTGTACAGCACATTATTAAGCATAGAAATGCCCCCAAAATATTTTCGCGTTTGTGGAATCCCACGCGATGTTTGACGCCACTATGACCTTGGTTTGTCCTGTTTTTACGTTCGATTTCACGCATAACGCGTGATTCTCGCAGTGAACGGAAAATGGTCTATTGGATTTTGAATATGGGTTGCAAATTGAACCATAGAGGGTGCTTTGGGGATCTCGTATCTTTTCTATACTAACATCTACTTTGAAACTGTTTTCAAGCAATGTCACTAGTTTTTTTGTTTTTTTAATTGTGTTGTTATAATGTTGGACTGTCAAGTAATTTCAGATTTTACTGTTCTTGGCTTCAAGCTGTCTACCTATAAAAACCTTAAATATCTTCGGGGCGGAGCTACGTCACCAGACTTCCACGTTGCTACGACGCGCACCACTGTACATGCATTTCTATGCGCTCTGTGCGCGCTGCTGTGGACAGCCGGTCGAGCCGGTGAAAATTCGAGAAAACAACACAAACTCAACTTTGAAGTTATCCTGGACAACCAAATTTATATATGTTACACACGTAGGGCTAATCTTGTTACACTGTTCAGGGGAGTCTCAACAACCATCCCAAAGTGCCGTTTTCTGCGAGTTTTTGGCCTTTGTTTTCACCGCGAGGGTTGCCACAAGCGGTGAAAATGCCCGGATGTCCGCCCGAGGATAGGCAAGGATTTACATTCATTCATTCAAGTTATGTTTTTTTATTTATTTTTCATATCGCAGCGGAAAAAAGTGTTGGTTGATCTTGTTTGTTTCGCGGTATACCGGACTTTTATTTCATTGAACAAACAAGAGACTGCAAGTCTAGGCTGTATGGAAAAGATATTTTCCAATGCGCCCTCTATGTTTCAATTTGCTATCCATAATCCTTAGAAAATCAAATATGGCGATCACACATTTCTGTCCGATACAAGAACACTCCTCGTATGTGAAGTATATACACACAAACACTCGTTCATATATAGAAAACACTGAATTTAGAACACTTGTGTTGGAAACCATTTTATTAATTTTTCAGAAAAAAATTGATGTTCTTTGTTTCTTTCGCAAATCGGATAAGATTTCAAAAGTATGACCGAGATAAAAGCATACGCTGGCACAAATCATAATACACCAGTCTTGGGTTTGCCGGTGCGCGTCCTCTTTTCAGTGAACACCATAAACAAACGTAGTCACGTACCAAGTTGTTTCACAGGCCGCACAATTCGAACATTCAAGTGCCAATTAGTGTATAATAGTATGAGATACATACCGCGATTGGCAATGAAGTAAGATGTAATAAATAGGAGGGGTGTGGTTATGTGAAAAAATACGCGACGATATCTACAACCAACGGTGTGAAACTGAAATTACGTGAACAAATATGTTTTGAGCGAGTTCGCAAGAGTTTTTTCGAGTTTGTGACAGTCATGGTATAGCTCGGACATTCGACCACGGTACAGCCGTGATCATTCGTAATTGCCACATATTTGGGAGCCCAGTTGACATGGGAACGCGACATCAAGAACATTGTGTTTTTATGTTCAACTTGCGACTGTGATGAATATGGTAGTTATCAGAACAGTTGATAATGATTTGTGAATATGGTAGCGCTGAGCTGCGCTTACGACAGCCTTTTCCAGTATACCTCCTTAGTGTACAACACCATGACATTATTGGCTGAAGTATCAGATATGGTGGCATAGAACTCAGTTAAATACTTATACCGCTTACATCATCAGTTTCATCCAAAATATTGAGAGGAAAGTTGTTTCCATTTTCATAAACTTTCGACAAAATTAGGATTTCGTTAATGTACACTCATTTGTATTTTGTATAATATAACGTAAAGTGTTTGTTTTTTCGATATTACTGGATTACGAATGATACTAAACTAAATGTAAATTTAGGTTGACATGGCGGCAAAATGATCACTGAACTCTTGGTTGTTCCTTTCCCATGATACTTTTTCAGGCATTCGTGTCCATCTTCTTTGTCCTATCATCTTACATGTTTTGAATAAAACCATGCAAGGCAAATAACAGTAAGCTCTACAAAATACAATAATGACAAGCGTGAGTTGCATCCCCGGGTTACGTCACGTGACATAAGTGACCAATAGAAAGTCATAAACGAGTATGTAAACAATATACTAGTATATAAAACAGGTATACTCACACAACGAGGGAAACACTCGTTTTGATCTTGTCCTGGCATAACTCAGATGCGATTGTCTGATTTAAGCAAGAATCCTTTTGTAGTTCCCGCCCATTGTAAGATTGGAGAGCCTGGTATGTTTACAGGTATCTTCGCGACAACAGTTACTTTGTACTTTGACGAGAATAAATTGCATTGCGGCAACGCCTACTCAAGGTCAATATTGGCAGCGAAGTACTCGGCGCGGCGTGATTTGGACTGACATCGCAGATATGGGTCAATTTTGTCAGCCAGTGTCATGAATAGAACTTGAGCTGTTATTCTGAGATTAAATACCATCTATGACGAATGACTTACGTTTTCTTAAAAATGATCTGTAAACCGGCCTCCTCGTTCTTTATCTCTATCTTCTGTCGCCATGGTAACGAGAAAACGAGGCACACTGTGAAGATGGCCATTATTACGCTAAAGTACTTGACGCGACAATGAGCCATCGTGGTCACGTGCCTCTATACGATACGATACTCCAAAAACAAGTCTACAAGAAAGAGAAAAGAACATCATAGGAGTATAATTATAATGGGAAACAATCTGAAGAACAAAATTGCCCGCGTCATTCAATATTTACGTCATCAAGAATCAATTTTCTGAGCCTTCCACAACAACCTATTTATTTTATCGTCAGCTAATTGGATGACAATACTAGTACACCTGTGTTGCAACTTGAAGCAATGTTGCCTCCAAATCTGATATTGCGATCTACTGGCTTCCTGAAAGCAACATTGCTTTAAATGCAGCTGTATTGCCAGCCAATTAGCTGACGATACTGCTAGTTAGAAGTACGAAACATATGCGCAGCTACAGTAATGATGCTATACACTTAGGGCAAGGACAGGGTATATAACCGACAGCTGTCATCGCCCCAATCAGACACTAACTATCGAAGCTAATATAAAGCGTTTGATAGTCAATCCACGGAGTGAAAAAGGCAGTTTATCTGAAAGCCATACAAGACGTTGGAGAAAAGAAGCCGTCAAATTGATTGATATGATTGTCGGTAATATCACCTTCACCCATGCCATTTATGACGAAACCTTTATTCGCCACTCGCTCACGGGAT